GTTCGGTGGCGAGGGGGAGGGTGCCATACCGCCCGCGGAGGGTGCGCCTGCGGCGCCTGCTGCTGCTGGCGCGGAGGTGGAGAGCGCCGAGGACGTGGCTTCGGTCAGGGCCGCGCTGATCTCGGCGTGGGTCAACGCGCCCGGGGCCCCCGTGGCCGCTCTCCAGCCCCACTTCGTGGGCTGGCCCGTCGACCGCCTCCGCGCCTGTCTGGACCAGGCGGTGGAGGCGCCCGGTGCCGGCGCCCGGACGGAGGGGAGGCAGCGGAAGGGTCGGCGATAATGTATTTTCCCGTGGAGGGAGAGCGCCGCCTGCCCGTTCCCCCCTCTCCCCGCACATGGAGTCCTCCAGCGGGGCGCTCCAGCACATCGCCCTCTGAGGCGATCGAGGGGCGAGTTGCGCTGCTCGCGGTGGCGGGAAGGAGTCATTTTCCGCTCAGGCTGAGTCGAGGAGGAGGAGGAATCTATTACGCCATGATGATGGACAGTGGTGGCAGCGACGGTGATGGGGATGGCTATGATCGTGTTCAGGAGGAGAAAGGGGAGGAAGGGGAGCAGGAGGAGGTTTTGTTGTGATGGTGATGGCTTTGGTAATCATGACGGTGATGTTTGTGGCTGTGGATGTTGATGGCAGTGATGATGATGCTGATGATGATGATGATGATGATGATGATGGTGATGGTGATGGTGATGGTGATGGTGATGATGAGGATGAGGATGAGGATGAGGATGATGATGAGGATGCGGATGAGGATGAGGAGGAGCATGATGTGGATGACGATGATGGCAGTGGTTTTGATACTGCTGGTAATTCTGGCAGTTGTGACTCAGTTGTGATGAGGATGATGATGATGATGGTGATGATGATGGTGGTGATAGCGGTGGCGAGGATGAGGATGTGAATAGCATCGCCCGTATACTGAAAAAAGGAAGACACCGAGGCGGAAGCAGCAGGATGGTTGGCGGACGAGCAAGCAAGCAGGACCATAAGGGAGATAAGCCACAATATCTGCGATACATGTTTTCTTTCAATCCGCGCCGCCACAGTTCCCGACCATTCCCCGGGGTAGTTTTTCGCCCCTGAACCATGTTTGGAGGACGGGCCCGAGAACACCCAGGACGCTGACATCAAGGATATCCACCGGTTGAACAACTCATATCGTCGGACATTTGAGAGGTGGAGGAGGAGGAGGAGGAGGAGGAGGAGGAGGAGGAGGAGGAGGAGGAGGAGAGTAGGAGGGAGGGGGGAGGAGACGGGGGCGGGGTGAGATGAGGCGGCCACATGAAGGTAGGAGAGAGAGGAGGAGAGGAGGAGGAGGAGGAGGAGAGAGTGAAGAGGAAGATGAGGGATGAGGAGGAATGTTGGGAGGAGGACGGCGGGAAGAGGAGAGGAGGAGGCATGAAGGAGGAACAGGAAGAGGAAGAGGAGGAGGAGGAACACGAAGATCGACGATGAGGAGCAGGAGGAGGACGAGGAAGACAGGCATGTGAAGGAGGAGGAGGAGGAAGAGGGAGGAGGAGAGGAAAAGGATAAAGGAGGAGGAGGCTGAGGAGGGCGAAGCTGCAGGAGGACTAAGAGGAGGAGTAAGGGAGGAGGAGGCGCGGAGGGAGGAGAGGAGGGAGGCAGGAGGACGAGGACGAGGAGGAGGAGGAGGACGAGGAGGAGGAGGAGGAGGAGGAGGAGGAGGAGGAGGACGCGAAATACGCGGAGGATGAGGTGGAGGCGGGAGGAGGAGGAGGACGATGCGTGATGCGGAGGAGGAGGAGAATGCCTCAGGTGAAGGACTCCATCCGGCACGCGCGGAACTTTATCGAGGTGCCCGCCGCGGTCGCCTCGGGGTCCGCGTCTCCCGCGCCGCCCGCGGTGGCAGCAGGAGGCCTTCGCGGTTCTCGGGGGCGTCCAGGAAGTGGGGGATGACGAGGGTCCTTGGCATCGCTTGGACGTGTGCATTTTTCCTTCGGCGAGGACCATCGAGGAGCATCCTTGATCATTTGGCGAAAAAACACGCACGAAACCGAAAAATGCACAGGGAATGGACGTCCGAGCGATGGCGAGGGGTCGGGTCGGACGACACGGGTTCGAGCTTCAAAGCTATCGGACGTTTTCGTCGGCGGGATTCCAACCTCGGGGTGCTGTCTAGCAGCTGCGCCTCGTCGAGCGCTTTGCGGGGGGGCCCCGGATCGTCTCGAAAGGCCAGCAGGTGCTCGAGCTATGATTCGAAAGCTAGTGGCATCGTGGTCGTAGAGGTAATCGTCGTCGTCGTTGTTGTGCGGCGGATGCCGCGGGCAAATAAGCAGTTTCCATTATTGGTGGGCCTCAGTCCGTCAACAAGGGCGTTGAACATACAATTCGTTTCCACTGTCGGGGGGTGAGTTCTAAAGACCTGTAGAGGTTAGGGGGCGGGTGGATGTCATGGTCTGGGCCATGATATCTCCCTGGATCTCATGGCGCCCTCTTCTGGTTTCCATGCGTCCCCTGGCCCCTCCTCCTCCTCCTCCTCCTCCTCCTCCTCCTCCTCCTCCCCCTCCTCCTCCCCCTCCTCCTCCCCCCTCGTCCGGGCACGCGCCTAGGGCCACGATTCGCAGACCCCTCCTCTTGGACGCCCCCTTCCGGGAGGCCCCTCGGCTTCGCTGCTAGGGGATGTCGCAGGGTGCTCCTTTGCTGGGGCGTCCAGCGCCGCGGGGCCATAGATGGAGTCGAGGAAGCATAACCGCACAGACGTAAGCTTTCGGAGCCCTGTGCGGATTCCTCAGAACAGATCACGAGCTGCGAGGTTCGAGGATCCCACCAATCGAAGAACAAAGGGGCACTGTATGTATGTATGCATGCATGCATGCATGCATGCATGTATGTATGTATGTATGTGTGTATGTATGTATGTATGTATGTATGTATGTATGTATGTATTTAATGCAATATATGTAGGTATGTACGTATGTATGTATGTATGTATGTATGTATGTGTGTGTGTGTGTATGTATGTATGTATGTGTGTATGTATGTATGTATGTATGTATGTATGTATGTATGTATGTATGTATGTATGTATGTATGTGTGTGCATGTATGTATGTATGTATGGATGCATGCATGTATGCATGTATGTATGCATGTATGTATGTATGTATGTATGTATGTGTGTATGTATATATGTATACATGCATGCATGTATGTATGTATGCATGTATGTATGTAAGTGTGTATGTGTGTATGTATATATGTATGTAGGTAGGTAGGTAGGTAGGTAGGTATGTAGGTAGGTATGTAGGTATGTGTGTGTATGTATGTATGTATGTATGTATGTATGTATGTACGTATGTATATATGCATTCATGGATGCATGCATACATGCATGTATGTATGTATGTATGTATACATATACATGCATACAAGACTGCAGTGGCGCTTCGCGCCATGCACCTTGGTCCTTGAAGGTTGGCATGCAGGCGAAATAGCAGGAAGGTGAAGCCGACAACTTAGCGATAACTCCTTGTTACCTTTTCCGGCATCGCCGCTATATTAATGTTATATCCGTAAGGGCTTCGCCCCCTGCCGCCGGCCCCCTCTCTCGGAGAATGGGCCATGGAAGAGCTAAGTCGTGAGGCTTTGGCGCTGTCGTGCAGCAGTATCGGAACTTCATGCGAGGCCGATTCGCAATCGGCAAAACCAACTGATCACAAGCAGGGTTACCACACCTGGCGCCGATTGGTAAGAGTGTATGGTGTACGAGCTTGGTTACCACCACCTTGGGATTAAAGGGCCCCGAGGGAGTACTCGCAGTTTGGGTTACCACGCCTTGCGATGGAATGTGCGTGAGGGGTGGCACCGAATTTCAGAAATGTGGCAAATCCTCTGTGTTTTGGACCCTGACCCCGCGGATCTGCGTGAGCGGGGTGGCACGAATTTAAGAAATGTGGCAAATCCATGTGTTTGGGACACTTGAACCCGCGGTATCTGCGTGAGGGGTGGCACCGAATTTCAGAAATGTTTTTTTATTTTCTTATTTTTTATTCTTTTTATGGCAAATCCCATGTGTTTTTGGACCCTGACCCCGCCGGATCTGCGTGAGGGGGTGCACCGCATTTCAGAAATGTGGCAAAAATCCTATGTGTTTTTGGACACGACCTCCGCGGATATGCGTGAGGGGGTGGCAGGGGCAAACCGAATTTCAGAAATTTGGCAAATCCCTTATGTTTTTTAGGACCCTGACCTTACGGATCTGCGTGAGGGGGTGTCGCCGAATTTCAAACATGTAGCAAATCGCATATGTTTTTTTACCCTGACCCCGCCGATCTGCGTGAGGGGTGCCACCGAATTTCAGAAATTTGGCAAATCCTTTGTGTTTTTGGACCCTGACCCCGGCGGGATCTGCGTGAGGGCTGTGTATCGAATTCCAGAAATGTGGCAAATCCCATGTGTTTTTGGACCCTGACCCCGCGGATCTGCGTGAGGGGTGGCACCGAATTTCAGAAATGTGGCAAATCCCATGTGTTTTGGGACCCTGACCCCGCCGATCTGTGTGAGGGGGTGGCACCGAATTCCAGAAATGTGGCAAATCCCATGTGTTTTTGGACCCTGACCCCGCGGATCTGCGTGAGGGGTGGCACCGAATTTCAGAAATGTGGCAAATCCCATGTGTTTTTGCACCCTGACCCCGCGGATGTGCGTGAGGGGTGGCACCGAATTTCCGAAATGTGGCAAATGCCCTGTGTTTTTGGACCCTGACCCCGCGGATCTGCGTGAGGGGTGGCACCGAAATTCAGAAATGTGGCAAATCCCCTGTGTTTTTGGACCCTGACCCCGCGGATCTGCGTGAGGGGTGGCACCGAATTTCAGAAATGTGGCAAATCCCCTGTGTTTGTGTGACCCTGACCCGCGGATCTGCAGGTGAGTGGTGTAGAATTTGGAGCCCCCCCAGCAATCAGGAAGCGATCAGCGTCCCAGGGGGTGTAAAATTCTCAGTCACTCGCATTCATCTGGTTGTCGCGCGGTCAATCAACTAGTTACAGTAACCAGCAAGAAGCAGAACTGTAACACTGGAAACTACAACCTACGACTGGTACAGGAAACTGCGAACCTCGCGCCTACAGCCTGGTGGCCCCACAAGGGGGCCGGCGGATTTGTTATCTATCCTCCATGCTTCTTTTTCCTCATTTCCGCCATACCCTGCGCATTCTCCCCATCCTCCTCAGCTCTTTTCTGCGGAGGCTCCTCCTTGGAGAGCCTCTGGGGGCCTTACAAAAGTTGTTTCAGGCTTTCTGATGGCCTTCTAGAGGCTGCCTGGGCGTATTTTCGGGGCCTCTGGGGGCTTCCTCGGGCCACGCTGCCTCCAACCGCGGTCTCCCTCAACGACCGGGTCACGATTTTGAATGCTTCGGAGTGTGTCTTTGGGCCATCTTGGGCCGCCATGGGGCTCTCTGAGGGCCATCTTGGACCCGTGTTGTGCCGTTTTGAGGCTCTCTTGGACTGCCTGGAAGCCCTTTCGGATGGTTGTGGGCCGATTTTGGAGCCTCCCAGGCGGCTTCGGACGCCCAGAAGATCGCCGTCTTGGAGTCTTGGAGCGTCGGGATGCCGAAAAGAGGAGAACCCCAAAATTCAACAAAAAACAACAGAACATCAATGATTTGCGCCTCTGGGGGCCTTCTTGGGAGTGCTCTTGGAGGCCTCTTTGGGGCCGTCCTGGAGGCCTCTTGGGCCATCTTGAGGTCACGTCGTTCACTCTTGGAGCGCTCTTGTGCTGTCTTGGGGGTCTCTGGGACGTCTCCGATGATCCTTCCCCTTTTCCCATTCGCTCCCCCCCCCCTTTCCCCCTTTTTCCCCTAGGTGTGCTGGGAAGGCTTGGCAAAACGCCCTGCGAGCCCCGGGGGCCACTTCGAGGCCCGTCCGGAGGGTCCCAAAGCCCCAGATCCCGGGAGTCCGGTTGGGGGGGGGCTCCCCGCCAAGGCTTATAGAATATAGGAAGGGGAATATGTATATACGCAGTTGTGTGTATATATATATATACACAAAATGTATTAGAGTTCCGCTCGGAGTTCCTGAATCGGCGCTGGGCCACCCCTGGCGGCGCCTCGGACGCCGCCCCTGGCGAGCTCCGCGCGCCGGGAAATGGCCGATCCGAGAAATGCGTGCGGAGCCGGCGGAGCTCCGAAAGTTTACGCTTATGCAGTTGTTTGTCCCTGCAGCCCCTCTGATGCGGCGCCCAGCGCCGCGGAGCCATAGAGGGCACCCGCCCAGGACACGCGAAGGGGCTTGGAGGTGTTGGTGTGTTGGCGGCGCGTCATGCCCTGGCCCCGCGTTGCGGCAAAAATCACCACGCACAGTGTTTGACTGCTTTCGGCTTTCTGGGGGCCTCACAGGGCCCCAATATTGCCAAACATCAGCCCAGAAAGAAGAAACCAACTGCTCCGCAGCCTATCGCCCACACGGAGGAGGATGAGAGAGGATGAGGAGGATGATGAGGATGAGTGGGAGGAGGAGGACAACAAGGAGGAGGAGAGCAAGGAGGAGAAAAAGGAGGAGGAGGAGAATAATAAGGAGGAGGAGGAGGAGGAGGAAGAGGAGGAGAGGGAGGAGGAGGAGGTCGAAGTGGGATGGGGGGCGCCAGGATGCGGCTGGCTTCCGGATCCGGCTGTAGTATTCGTCATGTCGGCGGATCCGGCGTCTCGTCGTCTCGTCTGCTTAGCTTCTTCTGTCTGTCGTCGTCTTCTTCGCGGCGTCGCCTCCCTATTCGCCTCGGCTTCTTCAGCGGTGCTGTCTCCTACTGCTGCTCTTCGTCGTTCTGCGTGTTCTGCTTTGTTTGCCCCGCCCGGGGTCGCTTGGCGTCTGTTTCTTCTGTGTGCGTTTCTTGGCTTCTTCCGTTTCGTGTCCCCTTGGGTCTTCTATTCTTCTTCGTCTTCTTTCTTCGTCTTCTTCGTCTTCGCTTCTTCGTGCGTCTGCTGCGTCATGCTTCTTATCTGCTCGTCTGCTCGCTTCTCCTTCGTCTTCGGCTGCTTTCTGCTTCTCTTCTATCTTTCTGTTTTTGTCTTTTCTGTGTCTGATTGTTTTTTTCTTTTTGTTTTGTCGTTTTCGGTTATTCCCCCCCCAGTTCCTAACCTTCGTTTCTTTTTTCCTCTTCTTCGTTTTATTGTTCTTCTTCATCTCCCCTTTTCCCTGCCCCCTATGTCTTCTTCATCGTCTTATTGCTTCTTCGTCGGCGTCGTATCTGCGGGGCGTATTCTGCCGCGAGTCCCTCCCCGGCCTAGCACCACGAAGTGAACGGCGAGCGAGGCTCAACCGTCACCCTCGGCCTCCCAGACAGGAGGATGGGGCCCGCAGGCGCCAGCACCGACGGTCAGGGGAAAAGCAGATACCTCGTCGCTCAGCGACTCGCTGCCCAGTCGAGACTGCGTGGTGCGTAGGGGGACAGCTGGTTCACCGCGTCACCGCGCAGTACTTCCCGACCGTCACCCCTGCCGAATCGGATATCATGTGCAATTGGGTTTGTACCCCAAGGTGAGCGGACACAAGGTCCCAAGGGACTTACGGACCACATGGCCCCGCCTCCCAACCAAATGCACACTCCCCGTGCCTGGTACCCATCTCCAGGTCACGGGCGCAACTAACCCGCCGCTGCCACGGGCAAAGTGCCACGTGGCTGGTGCAAGAACGACGAAAGCCAGTTTATCTGCCCCCAGCCGCCGCGCGCAATTGACATTGTCAGTGTGCCCCGAGGAGTGTGTGGCGCTGACGCCATGAGAACAGGTGCCAGGCCCCCACCCTCGGGGCAGGAGGAGGAGGAGGAGGAGGAGGAGGAGGAGGAGGAGGAGGTGCGTTCCGAGGGGGGGCGCGGTCTGCCCGCCCCGCGGGGGGTGCAAACATAGCTTGGTCTTCAAGTGACCAGAAAACGTTTCCCGCATTTCGGTCCTCATGGGGTGTCGGCGGAGCTTGTGCGGAAGATGTCCGAGGCATACCAAGGGTCGTCTCCCAAGGGTCGTTTCGTGGCCCCATAGGGAGCTCCACCGAAAGTCCAAATGCCACCGTCCACATGCGTCCCCCACACCCATTTCGGCACCCCCTCTTACACGCTTCGTGGCCCCATCGGGAACTCCACCGAAGGCCCCAGTGCCACCGTCCGCATGCGTCCGCCGTACCCATTTCGGCACCCCCCATCACACGCTTCGTGGCCCCATAGGGAGCGCCACCGCAGAATATATTCACAATTGCGATAGTCACCGCTGCATATGGTTGGGTCCTTCGCCAGGCTAAGTTTTTGTGGTCGGGCCCTTACTGCGTGTTTTCGGATTACGCCCAGGAAGACTTCTCAGAAAACTGGAGGCCTTCTGAGCCTTCTGATGAGACCCACCACCTCTGCCTGCCACCCCTGGGATGAGGAGTAGGAGGTCCAGGGGGAGGAAGAGGAGGAGGAGGAGGACGACGAGGACGAGGACGAGGACGAGGACGAGGACGAGGAGGACGACCAGGACGACGAGGAGGACGACGAGGAGGACGAGGACGAGGAGGAGGAGGAGGAGGAGGAGGAGGAGGACGAGGACGAGGACGAGGACGAGGACGAGGACGAGGAGGACGACCAGGACGACGAGGAGGACGACGAGGAGGACGAGGACGACGAGGAGGAGGAGGAGGAGGACGAAGAGGACGAGTAGGACGAAGAGTAGGAGGAGGAGGAGGAGGAGGAGGAGGAGGAGGAGGAGGAGGAGGAGGAGGAGGAGGTGGAGGAGACCCTCTACCCTCTTTGACGACGATCGACCCCGACGCTCGACGACCAGCGGCGCCTTGTGGCGCGCGGCCAGGTGCAGCGCCGGCGAAGTTCCGTGACCGGCGACAAAACGTCCCCCCAGCCCGCCCTCCTTCGAGGAAGAAAAAACGCATTAACCAGAAACTTTTGGCGCTCCGCGCCAAAACATTCTGTTTATGGCGTCTTTTCTTCTACTCCCGCGCGCCGCGTCGAGAGGGGGGGGGTCATACGAGCACGGAGGCCCGCCGTTCGTGGAGCGAGGTGCGAGGATCCCACTCGTCTCGATGCCTCCCTGATGGGGTCGGAGTAGATGGGGTCGGAGGATGGCGCCACATCGCCGATGCATCGGCGATGCAGCTCGATGGCGTCGCTGATGCATCGCCGACGTCGCCAGTGCATCGCCGATGCATCGCCGATGCATCGGCGATGCGGCGCGATCCTCCGACCCCACCTACCCGGACCCCATGTAGGACGCCTCTATCGCCGTGGCCTCAAACCCAGACATTTGGCGTCTCGCATAAAGTCATGGCAGAGGGTGTTTCACCAATCTTGGCCTCTGGGGGCCCTCGCCAGGCCTTGGGACTGTCAGAAAACGAGTCAGGATGACCAGCCGGTCCTGGGTCCAGACCTTTGGGGGTCCACGTCATGAAACAAAACACATCGTCACGAGAATCCCACTCATCGAACAGCACAAAAGGTTACCCACCCACCAAGCCAAGCCAACCCAACCCGAAGGCCCCAGTCTGCCCTCCGCGTCGGGGAACATTGAAAGCACACATGTGGAATCCGTACCCCTCCCAACCCGAAGTTGGGGTGCTCGGGTTCGGTTGGCGTGGTCTGGTAGGTACCCAGACATGCGACGTCTAGATTTGTTCAGTGCGGCGTCCTCGAAAGTCCCGACCCTTTCCCCGGGACAGGTTTTTCATCCTGATTGGTTGTTTGACGGTCCTGGGGCCCAGCGAGGGCCTCCAGAGGCCGAAAGAGACGAACAATTGTCGTCCTGAATTCTTTATGACGCGAGCAGGTCCGGGTAAGGGCATTCGCATTATTTCTCGGAGTTCCGCGCGGATCTCTCGGACCTGCTCTGGAGCCTCCTGGCGGCGTCTCCAGCGCCGACCCCAGAAAAATTCCCGCGGACCTCTGGACAATCATGTTTACCCATCGGTCGTTGAAAGTAGGTATTTGCGGATTACCAGATTCCAATCTACTTTAAGCGCCTTCCTATTTCAATGATCGAGTGGCTTCACCTTTTCCGTCCTCCTTCGGGGGCGGAGGGAACCCAGTGTTATTTCAACGCCTTCCTACTTCATGTCAACCGATGGGTCTGCCGTTCTTTGATGGCCCCATGATGGCCTGAAGACACACAAGCCGACCCCAAGACATCCCCAGAGGGATCCAAGATGACTCCCACAAGGGCCCTCCGAAGCACAAAACATCCCAATCCCGCAGGAAAAGCATGCATTCTTAGCAGCTGCGCCTCCTTGGTCGTAACTGCGTCTACGACGACCCAGGAGGCCCCCGAGATCGTCCCAAGACGGCCCAAGAGGCCCGCAAGAGGCCCCCAGACGGCCAGGGAAGCCCCAGGATAGAGCTGGGTGGCTTCACCAGTGAAGTCGGAAGAGGTCACTCATGCCTGGGGTCACTTGTGCGCTTCGCCGAAGTCCCAGCGTTTCTCGTCGACCTCGGGGCCCGGGGCCCTTCGAGGGCGTTCAGAGGGGGGGTGAAGACTAGAGGGGGGTGGATGTCATGGCCGTGATCATGATATCTTCCCAGATGTCATTCTAGGCCTTCTAGATGGGTTCGGAGTAGATGTGGTCGGAGGATCGCCAATTTATCGCCGATGCGGCTCGATGTGGAGCCCGATTTTCTTCACGTCGACGTCGCACGATGCATCGCCGATGCATCGTCGATGCATCGGCGATCCGGCGCGATCCTCCGACCACATCTACTCCGACCCCATCTAGGTGGCCTCTAGTCATGGCCCCTCTTCTCATTTTCATGCGTTCCCTGGCCCTGACCCTTCCCCCCTGGTCCGCGCACGTGCCTCGGGCCATGGTCTGCGAACCCGCCTCTCCTCGATGCCCCGCTCTGGGGACGCCCTCGAGCCCTCGGATGGAGCGTGGACTGCACGTTGGGAGAGACCCCCGACGATGTGAGTCGGGCGGGTGGCCATGGGGGTACAGTCGGGGCCCTGGAGAAGGAACCCTTTTCGTTGGGGAGGGGCTCGGTGTTCCTTAATTGTTCCACACCTTGCCTAAGGTTTCCCTTCAGTTATCGATGGGAAGTCGAAGTTTAACTTACGGAAAAAGGGGCCTCGTTCCTTATTTAGGGTTCCTTAGGTCAACGCCTCGACTGTAACCTGAACGGGGGGTGAAGAAAGGGGCCCCAGAGGGGCGCTTTAGGGCTCCTTCTGGAGACAGCACGGGCCCTAAAGGGCTCCTTTGGGGCCTTCTGCTCACCCCCCTCATGTAGGTCACCTCCCATGACCCCCCGCCCGAGTGAATTGCTCAATGCCCAAGAGGGGCCGGCCACCCGCAAAGGGGTACTCAGGGGGAGGGGGGCAGGTTGCTTACAAGGAGGCTTCTTCTCAGAAGGCGCGATGAAAAGGCCCACGCCTTCTGAGAGGCAGCCTCTTTCTAAGGAGCCTTCCCTTCTCCCCCCTAACCCCCCTCTGCACGCCGCCAGAGAGGGCTCCACCCCTTGCCTGGGAGAGGTCTCCGACGATATGGTCTGCTCCGTCCGAGCCTTTGTCTCTTTGATCCTCGGGCCCTTCAGCCCCCCCCGTTGCCTTTCCTTCTCCTCCTCCTCCTCCTCCTGCTCCTCTTCCTCCTGCTCCTCCTCCTCCTTCTCCTTCTCCTCATCCTCCTCCGTAGCCATTTTGGCTCAAGGTTTTGAGTTTCCCTGTGAAATTAGTGGATACCGCTAGTCCGCGGCTAGACCTTTGTTTTTTCAACGCACCGCTGCGTGAGCCGTCAGGCGGCGCAGCATACTGTGAGCTCCTGGCGGAGCAAGTTCGTTCTGACGTTTTCATGGCCAATGGCCCGCCTTCTCGTGCCGCAGCCGCGGGCAGGTCCTCGGCCCAAGGTGGGGAGCGCAAGGCGTGGGCGGCGCCATGGCTATGCAGGTGGCGCACACATCAACGCACGGGTGCCACGTGGTGGAACCGAGGCGATTGCCAGGCTTGCACCAGCTGCAGCGTCGCCAAGGGTGCCAGTTTCGGTGGGCATAAGCCGCTGGATGGGCCGCCGAGCCAACGCTCGCCAGAGGCCGCTGCAGCGCGCCGCCGTGCAGGCGCTGCGGCCGCGGACGCCCTTGCCGAGAAGGACCGCGAGATCGCCAAGCTGCGTGAGCAGATCGAGGCGGCGAGTGGTCCAGCTCCTCCCAGAGAGGATCCACCACCAGTAGATGCTGACCAGGAGAGGCTGTCCGAGATCGCGGGCTTGTTGCGCACTCTCGGTGCCTCCACCGACCCTGCCATCGTGGCGGCGAGGGGCGCGCTCTGCAAGGAGCGCGACGCCATCAAGACCAAGATCGTGGAGGCCAAGCCGTATGTTGGACAGCTCCATCATTATACGACACGCATCAACACCTTGTCGCAGGCCAAGGCTCAGCGTCAGAAAGTGTTGGATGGCTACAGTGAGCAACGAGTGCAATTGGATGCCAAGATCGCGGAGGCGGAGGCCCAGATCAGCGAGCTGGCGGCTGACATCCAGGAGCTGGAGGCGTTGCGCTGGAAGGTCTCAGCCAAGGCGCCCACGGCAGCTCCTGGAGACTGCGCGCCGTGCACGCTCGTCCCCGCGATGGACCTTTCCGTCGAGAAACTGGGCCAGATGCTGCAAGGCTTGGGAGCCGACGACGAGCTGTCCAAGTCCATGTCGATCTGCTTCGACCAGCTGCGAGCCCTGGCTGGCAAGGCTGACGCTGCTGAGAAGGAGAAGTCGTCTGCCAAGGAAGCCGAGCCTGCTCGAGGCGCGGCACCAGCCAGCAGTGGGACCCCACCAGGGATGCCGACGCCTGGCCAGCAACAAGCAGCTCAGGATCGCGCCGTCCCCATGGACACTGACGACATCACCGAGCTGCGCGACTTCCCGCGCGCGGCGACTGGCCAGGACCCGCCGCAGGAGGAAGAGCAGGTCAGGGAGGCCACCAAGCGCATGGCCAATGCAGCGGAGGCCTTGCATGCCAAGAAGCAGCGCGCAGGGCCGGTCGCCTGAAGTTCCTGACATAACATATGGTTTTCAATTGTCTGCAGGGCCGCCTAAGCTTAGCTTGCCGCTTGTGTGCCTGCAGGTGTATCACGTCGCCGTTTGGCTGAGTTTCTATCTGGTAAAGCTCGCGAAGCACCATTTTCGACAGGCGTGCAGCGGCGCGTCACTTACCCCGTGGAAGCCTGGGGCCGACATGGCTAGGCTTGATCACGGATTTCCCTTCGCTGGAAAATGTCACACCTGGCTCTACACCGATAACCGCACGTACTCTTCTAACTTTGCACTGGACATCTCGTGGAGGTGTGGATCGCGAATCACAGATTTATCATCGACTGAGGCCAGGTCACGGTTCCGAATGCTATCTACTTGGGCTACGTGGACGTGCAGCGTCCTCCTCTACTCCACCGCCTGTAGCATAGCGTACGTTCTTGAGGAGGTCAGGTCAAGTGCTGTTGACGGGCTCTAGCCGCGCGGATGCGGGCTTTAAAGTCGTTCGATCGAGAGTCCACGGACCTCGGCACCCCTGACTCTGACTTCCTCACATGCCGACGTCGACCTGCGACGACTTCGTCCTCGAGTACGCTGCAGGAACGTGAGGCCGATCCTGTAACAGAGGATCAGAGAGGTCAGCCATGCGCCATGTGTCTTCGATGTCGGATCTGGCGCTACCGTCACCGTCAACAGCGTGCTGGCCTCTAACATTACCTCATACGGTGCCATGAAGGACGTGCTCTCGCTGCCTCAATGTCGCGGCGCCATTACTTGCTTACAAGAACATCACGGTGGCGAACAGAGGCTACCTGAGCTTCAGCACACCGCGCGGCAACTTGGGCTACAGGGAGTTTTGGGCGGCGGCCATCTCTACTGGGCGAGGTGGCACCGTGA